CTATCAACTTTACCAAAAAATATCAAGAAATAAAAATTGCTTATTTTGTTTTCATAGAGCTCTGTGAATTTTTTCAGAATTTTATGTTAACTTTTTAGTACTTCAAGAAAATGTAAGAAAATGAAGTACTAAAAGTTAATATAAAATTCTGAAAAAATTCTCAGAGTTCTATGAGAACAAAATATATAATTTTTATCTCTTTATATTTTCCTCATAAAGTTGATAGAATTCAAGTAAAAAATTATTGAAACCAATAATCTTGTAGATATTTACGTAAATATCTTAGAAAATAGAGGTTGTATAAAAAATTTTTTCAAGCAAAAGTTGTTTGCGTTTTTACGTTGAATAAAATGCTGTAATAAAAAATATGTGTTTCTATTTAAAAGAGCAAAGTTGACCTTGTTCTGACCTTGGCGACGACATCCTATGTCAAATAACTACTATCGTTGAATGCGTTTTTTTAAACCTTACAACTTTTGTCTGAAACATTTTTCTTTAAAATGCTCCCCCGCTGAGTTATCTTGCCGTTCCGGTACTTTTGCTATACCCTGTATATTGTATTAAGACATATTAAAGATAGTGATAAAAAAACGCCGTGGCGGTCGGACCTGTGTCTTCTTTTCGATCCGGAGAGAGAAAAAGCGCGATTTGTTGCTAGCTATGCTGGGACTCGCGAACCTGGGCAGCGATCATGTAACTTTTTCCCTAGGGCGGAAACGTGAAAAGTGAAAAGTTTGACGTGAACTCGTGATCACTAAACTCGGCGAAGCGTAGAAACGTGAAACTTTTCACGTGAACTTGTCAGCCATGAAATGTGCTGGCGGAAAAATGAAAATTTAGTGACATGATGAATACGGAATATATTATACGGGTGTATATCAGTTGGACACGGGGCAATTGGACACAGTCCAATCACAAGTCGCTAAGTTCTAAGGGATCCTACAAATGTCTCTAATCACACGGTGCTGTGATTGGCTGTGTCCAAATGCACCATGTCCAAGTGCACCGCTCCCATATTATACTACTGCTGTGATGAGATACAGGAAACATAACAGTCCTAAGGTTATAGCGAGTTTTTAAGGTTATATGTTCTACAGCCGATGGATACAGCTGATTTCGCTGATATTGAAATCATATAGGAACCATGTTTAGTGATTTGTGCTTTTCACGTATAGAGTTATTTGATTGCGTGAACAATGAAAAAGCTTAAGTGAAATCGATAGAGCGAAAAGTAAAAAGTGAAAAGATTCGCTCGAAGTTATGTGATCGCTGCTTTGGGTCTTTCGCTTGCCGGGCGCTGCACTAAACCACTGAGGCTATCTGACGTTTCATGCTCACGACACTTTCTTTCCCATATAACGTTACATAAACTGCTTAGATAATAAAAATATGATAAATAATAAATAATATAATAATAACAAAATAATATAATAATAAAATAATATAATAATAATAATAATAATATAACAATAAATAATAAATTCTACTATCACCTGTATAATAGCCAATGCTTTCTGCAGACTAAATGTAAAAATATTTGTTAGTGACAACAATATTTGTTAGTGACAACAATATTTAGTGACTGCATTCATCACATCACTAATATTATCCACATAATTTCTTATTCATTCGTTTTGAGTACTGCGAGGTTTCATGTGTAATTCCTGTATGTTACTCTAACAATGTGTTGTTTTTTCTAAATGTTTTATTCTGCGATTCCTGCATTATTTTTACACAGATTATATGCATTCAATTTACCGTGTTGCGGTTTTAACATACATGAAGTGTGTTATTCACTGTAACACAGAACTCGTGTGTAGATCAGTGCGTCGTTTCAATACATCTACAACCGCAGCTGTGTTGTTTAAACACATAACACACCAAATTAGTGAATTGTGTGTTGTTTTAACACACCTGATAACACGCCTGTTTTTACAGTGAAGGCAGAAACGATACGGTCGAAATCCTCGCTCTCCGCTCTGAAGCATCGAGTTCGGTAGACGATCCGGATCGGTCTGGTGCCGCTTACTTTTCGGACACGGTTTATATAGTCGATTTCGCGAGCTGTCACTGTTTGTTTACGTCGCTTTCGCTGTTGTCTTGTTTAGACGCATGTTTTGGGTGCGGTGCGTATTATGTTTATATTTGACCTAGCGGCCTTTGCGTGGCGCGTAGCGTCGTTTACAGCTCGACGGGTGTTCGGTCGGGCTGTTAGTAATGATGCGTGTTAGGTATCGTTACAAATTACCTTTTTTTCATAGCGCACACATGATCACCAATCACAGGCAGCGGCAGGTTGTTCTTCCACCGCGCGCTGAAATTCGCGCGATAAATAATAAATAATATAATAATAATAAAATAATATAATAATAAAATAATATAATAATAATAATAATAATATAACAATAAATAATAAATTCTACTATCACCTGTATAATAGCCAATGCTTTCTGCAGACTAAATGTAAAAATATTTGTTAGTGACAACAATATTTGTTAGTGACAACAATATTTAGTAGTGACTGCATTCATCACATCACTAATATTATCCACATAATTTCTTATTCATTCGTTTTGAGTACTGCGAGGTTTCATGTGTAATTCCTGTATGTTACTCTAACAATGTGTTGTTTTTTCTAAATGTTTTATTCTGCGATTCCTGCATTATTTTTACATAGATTATATGCATTCAATTACTGGACCGAGCTGCGGTTTGAGCGTTCTTCTCTTTACCATTCAGCGCGTGCTTTTCCTTAATCTTTCACAATTAACCCTTTCAGGACGAGGAGTTGCTCGAGGAGATAATTATAGGGAAGTACATATTCTATGGGCTTTTTGGATCATTGAATCCGAATCTGTGAATTTAGGTTTTTAAAATTCTGTGATCCAAGATGGCGGACCCAATATGGCGGAAAAAAGATAAATAATATAAATATCACTTAATTTCCGTGAAATTTGAACTATGAAACTTTTAATCATACTTTTTTGAAAACTGAAATCGAATATTTGAAATTCAAAATGCCGGCCAAGGAAAAAATTTTTAAATCTGACCCAACCTGATCACATCTTTTCATTTGTGCTCATCCTTGCGAAAATAGTTCGTATATCGAAATCATTCAAGATTTTTACTAATTTAAATTTAGAGAGTATGAAGTTCCACGGAAATTGAGTCATATTTAAATAATTTAACATCTTGAAAATCACTATATTTGATCCGCCATTTTGAATTTTACATTTGACTTCAAATTTGGAAAAAGTATCTCAAAAAATCCCAACATACCAATTTTTGTGTGTTGAAGACAATACTTAATAAAATTTAAGTCCATTTGAATTAAATATCTTGCACTCGTTAAATCACAAACGCTATTTTTCGTTCGTTAATATAATTTTCACAATTAGCAGCGCAGTTTTCATTTCGATCAAACTGCAGTGCGAGGAGTAAGCGGGCCTGATAAAAAAATTGAATTACTTCTTTCGCTTTGTCTTCGTTATTCTGTTTATTTTCCATTTGACGTTAAAGAATGTCGGATATAATATTGAACTAAAAGATATAATTCTCAAATTTAAGATTCAAGATATAATCCAAATTTGTAAGTATTCTTAATACACTTAAGATAAGCTTAGGCAGTGATTTGCGATCACGATAAGTTGTCCGATGATTATCTCAGATGTTGTTACTAACAATTCAATCTTGGTAACCGTATGAATTGTCTTATACGACTTTTCATATCCTTTCTAATAAGTTGCCTGACGATAAAGGTTCAGGCGGCGTCTCGCAAACGCCAATAAAGAATTGGAATCTATTGAGCAACATAAGGTTGCTTTTTTATAGCACAAGGCTATATAATGAATAATTTAAAGGTTAATATATTAGCAGCATAGGGCTGCTTACTCTTTGGATACTTACTGTTTGGATACTTACTGTTTGGATACTTACTGTTTGGATACTTACTGTTTGAATACTTACTGTTTGAATACTTACTATTTGGATACTAACTGTTTTGATATTTACTGTTTGGATACTTACTGTTTGGTTACTTACTGTTTCTTAATGTTACTTACTGTTTCTTAATTTTTTACTGTTTCTTAATATTTCTTAATATTTCAAATATTTTGATTATTTATATTTAATTCTGATAAATTTACCATTTCAATTATATTTTCAATTTAATGTAAATATTCATGTTTAAAAAAAATATATAAATTATACTTCACGTTTTAAAGTGTTCTTTCGTGTTTTATTGATTTCTAA